TCCCGAGGCCGCAGGGCTGGTTCTGGACATGTATATCAACTTGCTAGCTGAATTTGCATCCAACTCTTCCCTGTCAGTACAGCAGTGCGCCTTGTTCTCGAGCAATAGTGATGAAACCCATTTGTCCGTCCGCCGGGGCACGCGGATCCGTCATCGATGGCCGGAGACGTTGTCGGCACGGTTCCGCACAATTCTACAAAGCTACGCCGACAGGACCGCTATTATTGAGGAAAAAGGAAGATACACATACTCTTGCTTGGGCGCTCGAATGTGCTCCATAGCGAATGCTCTCATTGAAGGAAGAATCACCCCCGGAACCAAGGTCGCGGTTCTCTGCCAGCCATCCCTGGATTCGGTAGCGAGCCTGCTAGCGATTCTTCTCACCGGCGCTGTTTATGTGCCTCTCGATCTCAGTAGCCCGATGTCGAGACATAGTGCCATCATAGACGCCTCGGGCGCAAATGTGATACTCTGCTCGGCTACGACGCTTGAGTCAGCCTCCACTCTTGGTGTGGCGACTATCATCAATGTGTCCGCGGTGCCGGAGCACTCAGATCCGACGATAGATATCGACCGTGATGGTACGTCTCCATCGGTCCTACTATATACCAGCGGCTCCACAGGCAAACCGAAAGGGGTCTTGCTCTCGCAAGTTGGCTTCATCAATTACCTCGCCGCAAAGGCCGAGGAGCTGCACTTGGACCATAATGTCACCATCTTGCAGCAGAGCTCTGTGGGATTTGACATGGGGCTTGCTCAGATACTCAACGCAATCATGAATGGAGGGAAGCTCGTCATCGTCCCCCAGGCGGCGCGAGGAGACCCTATCGAGGTTGCCAAGTTGATCCGGCGGGAGAAGGTGACATTCACGCTTGCCACGCCGTCCGAGTACATGGTTATTCTCCAGCACGGATGCAAGTATCTAGAGGACTACACCTCTTGGCGCCACGCCTGCCTCGGTGGCGAACCATTTACGGACCAACTGAAGCGAGAGTTTGTGCAACTGGGCCATAGATGCCCTGTTGTTCAGGATTCCTACGGCGTAACAGAAATCTCTGCTTGCACGACTTTCGAGACCATGAACGTGTCTCAGCTCGAGGAAGCGCGCAGCGTCGGGAAGCCCATCCCCAACACTTCCATATATATACTGGATCATAACGAAAATCTAGTGGGAATTGGTGTGCCTGGCGAGATATGCATCGGTGGAGCTGGAATAGCCCTTGGGTACTTGGACGAAGAACAGACGCGGCTGAAATTCGTCGAGGACCGGTTTGCGAGCGAAAAGGATATTGCTCGGGGTTGGACTCGGATGTACCGTACTGGCGACAAAGGCCGCATGCTCGAAGATGGCTCACTTATCCTTCTGGGTCGTATGGACGGAAACACGGAGATCAAACTCCGTGGTCTTCGGATTGACCTGGACGACGTAGGAGCTACATTGGTGAATTGCTCTTCGGGCATGATCTCGGCGGCTGTTGTTTGCGTCAAGGGCGATGGTGATTCCAAATACCTCGTGGCATATGTTGCGGTTGCCCCCGGCCGCACGAGTACCGACTCCGACCTTCAGCGTCTTGCGATTAGTCTTCCCCTGCCACAGTACATGTGTCCTGCGCTAGTGGTGCGCCTGGACAGTTTACCACGGACCGCGAATGGCAAGGTCGACCGAAAGGCAATCGAGACTTTGCCGGCTTTGAGCGCAAAGGCACCATCGCAGAAGAACAGGCGTTTGACCTTGGGTGAGGGCGAGCTCAAGCTCCTTTGGAGGGGAATCTTACCCAACAAGCCTCAGATCCAGCCCGAGTCGGACTTTTTCATGCTTGGGGGGAATTCTCTACTCCTGATCAAGCTCCAAGGTGCGATTCGCACTTCCATCGGGGTGCATATCACACTTCGCGAGCTGTACGCTGCAAGTACTCTATCCAACATGGCGCTTAAGGTTGCCTCACGGAAGGCTGAAACTCCAATGGCAACGATCAACTGGTACGAGGAGACAGCTGTCCCGGAAGCGATACTCCAAGAGACAAGCTCGCGCTCGGAGCCGCGCCGCTCCAGAGAATCAGCAGGCATTGAGATCATTCTGACAGGGGCGACTGGGTTTCTTGGGAGGACAATCCTACGAGCCCTGCTTCAGAAGTCCGAAGTCAACAAGATCCACTGCCTTGCTGTGGAGAAGGGACAGGACGACGTGCTCCCGTCAAGTAGTAATATCGGGGTCTACTACGGCAGCCTCCTCGATCCCACCCTGGGACTGTCCACCGCCGAGTCGGACACCCTACAATCGTGTGTCGATGTGATCATCCACGCGGGGGCGCATGGACACTGTCTCAACACTTATAGCTCCCTCCGAACGCCTAACGTGATGTCCACGCACTTCCTCGCGGCATTTGCGTGTCGAGCCCGAATCCCCCTGCACTACGTCTCCTCCCCGCGGGTCATCCTTCAATCAGGCCAGACATCTCTGGGCCCTATCTCCGTCGCGTCCCACCCGCCGCTCGCCAGCGGCTCTGAGGGATTTACGGCTACGAAATGGGCGAGCGAGGCGTTCCTGGAGCACCTCGCCGACCGAACCGGACTGTCCGTCTACATCCACCGGCCATGCACCCCGATCGGTGACAACGCACCAGACCAGGACGCACTCAATTCCTTGCTTCATTTCTCGGACCGCCTCAGCGCCACTCCCCGACTCACCAACATGGGGGGGTTTCTCGACTTCCAGAAAGTCGAGATCATCGCCGAGAGAATTGCCTCCGAGGTGACGTCGTCGGTATCGGACAGCACAACGCCTTCTTCATCCTCGTCGTCATCGTCTGTTCATTTCCGCCACCACTCGGGGAATGTCAGAATCCCAGTCAAGAGCTTCAAGGAGTACATGGAGAAGGTCCATGGTCGCCCGTTCGCGGAGCTGGGCTTGCCAGAATGGTCGGCGAAGGCGATAGAGTTGGGGATGGAGCCGTTGATCCCGGCCTTCTTGGAGGCGGTAGCGGAGAGCTCAGAGACGATGCATTTCCCTTTCCTTGGGGAGGAATGTGAGGGGTAGCTATCAAATAAAAAGAATCTTTCTTTGCTGAATGTTGATATGAGGGGGTCTCCAAGCCGCTTGGAATATTGCGGGAGATTGTACTGTACTTGATTGATGGCGGTGGTATGGATAGTGATCGTAAGGTGATGGAAGGAACTCCGTGGTTTTACAATGGAACCTCTTGCTGGAATCTATATAAGTGAAATATACATCGGGGGCGTTTGAGTAAGAAGGAGTCCGCACGTGCCTTTCGGCAGCAACTTGGTTTTGTGCGCATTGCTGAGTAATTTGTAGCTATTCCCCATGTAAGTCGTATGCTGAAGGCATAAATCGGGCATAAGCTGTCGGATTGGATTATCGCCGTAACGTGCGGTCGGGTTGAGAAAAAGATCATGCACTCATTGTCAAATTTGGAAGTTACAACACAATCAGCATCATTGGTCTAGTGGTAGAATTCATCGTTGCCATCGATGAGGCCCGTGTTCGATTCACGGATGATGCAATGAATCTTACTTTTAATCCACGTCCCCGCTTGTGCTACGGCCCCAGCGCGGGTATCGTTTTGGAAATATTCAGGATCATTTTTGGTTCCGAATAATGATCCCACTGCGCCGTACTGTCTGCTCGCTGCGAATAAATAGACCCGCATGATGTCTTCTTTTTGGCTTTCGTACACAATTCTTTCAAAATATTCACATGGGCCAACCGACCAGAAAGGCTTTTTTTCTAACCATCGGCTGATCTGCGCTAGATTAAACAATTGAGCCCTGTAAACGAAGCTGTAAGCCATTCTCGTACCTTTATAATGAGAAGCTCTGTTTGTTCTCTGATTACCGACTGTTCTCATAGCGGCACATAGAAGTTTGTAAAAACAGCGCCAGCTACACCAGACAGCACGTCACCATTCTTTCATTACTCAATCAGCCGGGGAAGCTATATTTTACTCACAGTATCGGCGTAGGTGGCCTGTACTAGGCGGTAGTCACATAGAATAGTAGAAATCGCTTAGCTAGCCTTATTGTTACTACCATTGTGCTCCTATCTATTCACACGTATTACTGTAAGAGAAAAGTAATCAACAAGGATCTAAAATATGTTTATCCTTGACTACTTTTGATATAAGAACATGCCAGGATGTTGAGGGCTACCTGTAGGGCCGAGGCTCCAGCTAGCTCTTTAAGGCTCAAAGCTCATAGGAGCTGTTCACTGTGGAACTCATTTTCCGGATAATCCTCTTGCCCCCCGATTTCTTCTAAGGGGTAAAAGCTCATGATATTTGGGAAGACAGAAGGTAGAAGGAGTTGATATTTCAGGATCAATGGACCAGGTTCTCGATATGGTTCTATAACACCAGTATGCTTGTATCGAGAAAGTGGGAGCAAAGAGGGTGTGGTTATAAGTTCCATGGTGTATAGCTCCTGTCAGCTGTAAACTTAGGGCCGTCCGAAGCCCTAGCCTAAAGTACTTGACCTTGACATTCCGACACTTAGGTATTATCGATAGAACTACCTACATATAGAGCACGGAGTAAAAGCTCTACAGGCCTTTTTTTCATTTTCTTTTGTTCTTCTTCCAGTATTAAGAAAGCTCTGAGTCAATCGTCAGTAGTTTTATCTACACTTTTGATCCCTCACATTATGCGATCCTTATTGCCATCGCCATTCTGGTGATTCCGGGCTATGTTAAAGGGTCAAAAAAATCCGAACTACTTTCACTACTTGACACGGGTCCTTGAGGTAAGCAGAACTGAGAAGTGGTCGGTCGCCAGACCTTTCGTTTGCGCGATGACCAGGGAATGTATGCAGTTGCTTCATGCCTCATGCATCACATGAGGGGAGGTGGGGCATGCAGGCTTATCTTTGGTGCCGTTGTTTGGCTTGCTCGGGTGAACAAGTGGGGCTTAGCTATGGCCCCTTCGACCCGCACCCCTTCCAGCTGAGCCTTGGCGCTGCATGATCTTACATGTACAAAAGACCCTTGAGTTTGCTGATCGGGTTGGGTTCAATAAATTGGTCCTGACCCATCGCTTGCGCCTTTTTCTACAAATTGAGGCATTTCAGCTTGATCACACAGCTATCAGTCACGATGATCGAAACCCAGGTCGAGATTGCTGCTCCACCTTCCAAAGTGCGCGAAGTGGTAACTGTTCTCTTTCATAGACTAGCTACCATGAAACACCACGCTGATTCTAACTCCTACCAGCTCTTAGACTTTTCAAGATACTCTGAGTGGCACACATCTATCTTTCACCTTCTCGAAGCTGGGGATAGCACTAAGACCCTGGAGACCTTAGAGCCGGGCGATGTCATACGTTGTGACGTAGATGGCATGAAGTTCGACGCTGAGATCACTGTATGTCGCGAATCTACCATTCAGAGATAAAAATGCATCCTTACAGTCTTGTGGAGCGGAATAAGCGCTAACCGTGCGTGGAAAGGAGAATTCCGAGAACCTATTCCAGTGGCAGGGTCCCCCGGTGGCTGGCTTGGTTGCTGGGCTGCATAGCTTCCATATGCTTTCTACAAAGGACGGGTCGGCGACGATACTCAAGCAAACGGAAGAGTTTACTGGTGCACTTGCATTTCTGATGGGTCCCTCGTTGTTGGGCAGGAAGTTGATGGGGCAGTATAGGAGATTCAATGCGGATCTCAAGCGCAGGGTTGAGGAGCTCTAATCGAAAGCCCAATCTGCGACGGGGGGCATATAGCACTTGAATAACTACAGTTCAATGGCTCTCGAAGGAGAAGCGTTTGATCCAGAGATTCTGCAACTTCAACAACCGGTCCTTAGTCGTTTAATGCAATGTAAGCGAATTATGATGGTGCTCCACTTCCTTAACTCACAGAGATATTATCCCATCGTTCAATGCTCAGCTGCGAGGTACTATCCTCTGCATGTTCTCTAATCGCTCCAGTGCAAACCTCTGCTGCCAATTGAAGGAATGGTCCTGATCCACACGAACCTCTCCCACATATGTACTTCTTCCTGGCTCACAGGATAGCATATCCTCTACCCCTCCATCCGAGTACGCGGTCTGAGAAAGCAAATGAACAAGGCCACAACAAGTATGCTTGATCATGGGGATCACAGTCGGTAAACAAGCAGGGATCACGCCCGCTGCAGTCTCCACGACACACCACGTTTCCGCGTCGGCAAGGGTCCAAGCGATATCATTAATCTCGAAGGAGAAGATAAGACTAAATCGGTAAATGCTGGCGAACACGACACTAACAGAGAAGGGAATCGTATTAGCGTTCCACAAATCGTCTACAGCGGGGAGAGATGAGTTTCATATCACACACAAACTCCCGCTCAGGAAGACAAGCAAGATTGAGATCCTCTGGCTGAAACCTGCGTGGATTTTCCAGATGAGCTGACCGGGTAGGGCGAGGATGCAGATGTCCGTGACGAAGTTCGGAACCCCATTGCCGATCAACGCGGCTTTGAGGTCTATGCAGTGACCAGCCAGGGTGGTATTGTACGCTTTCTCCAGGGGCATGCACTGAAAGATGGCGACAAGGTCGACGGCTATGACCCAGGCGACAGTGATGGTAGCGAGGATGATGCCCGCAAAGCGGATGAGACGGACTGGAAAGATGCGATGATACATCAGAAGAACGGAGATTTTGATGATGCCGACCGTGGTGATGTAGAGAGGCTCGAACGCGTATAGGAGCTGTGTTGTACAGGACCCGTCAACCATCACGCGAGCTAGGTGACATGAAAATACAATGATCGTACCTGGGAGAAAATGACTAGATCGGACGGTGGAATGCGGGACGTGTGGCGGCCCATCCCATGGTGAATACCTAGGCAGACACCGTCAGTATGGTTCGGCTCATTGCAGTTGTGGGGATTGGCCCAGACAGGCGAGGTTGACAGCTGCAATCACTATCACAAAGACCTAATGCACATTAGCCAAGAACCGCGTGAAATCGGAAAGAGATGGCAGATACCAATCCGACAATGAGTGTAATCATCGGGGCCTAGCCGCACACGCTTCCTACCCCGAGCTAGCAGTCGGGGAAGACAAAAAGGATGGCCAGAGCCGTAACTATGATAGTCGTCACTGTTTGATGAGGCTGGGTCGACTGACGCGGGTCGACAAAAGCCATGACAAAGGTGTGGATGCCATTGGAGCCTGGAGGAACACACTCGATTTATGCCAGCGCGCGGACAGGGATCAGAAGAAAAAAGGAGTGAGCAGACAAAGAAACATGATAACTGGAGCCTTGACACGGGATGGATAGTACGGAGCTAACTAGGTAGCTAGCTAGTAGGCTAGGAGGGATGTAGGTAAGTCGTCAATGCCCTAAGATGTAGTCGAGAGAGAAGCTAGTATATAGACAAGTTAGGGCCAGACTACCGTAACTACCAGGCCAACCATTGCGGGGGATTAGGCTCGAACCCCACCTGTCAAATTTATCGGTTCAACATCTCGGCAATAAGCAGCCAACCAGGCCGTGCGCTGTGCGCGAACGCGAGTCATGGAATGGGACCATCAACGGCTCACAACGTGCCTTGGTCCCACGGCCCCTGCCCGCGGGAGGGGGATCCGGATTATAATAGACCAACACCCCCCCCTCCTCCACCCCCCCCGCAATTTCCGCATCTGATGTATTGATCGCCTGGCTCTTTCTCCGAACTGCTTTCCTCTGCACTCCCAGGATGAACTCCCCGGTCATCGTCTTCTCCCTTGGGGCTTGGATCACCCCCCCTTTCTTCCATGCCCTTCGAGCTCAGCTCCAAGATCTCGGCTTTGCATCCAAATGTCCAGCCCATCCTTCAATTGGAGCTGAGCCTCCCTCCAAGACCCTGTCGGACGATGTTGCCTCTCTCCGAAGACTCTTGACGAATCTCGCCGACGCCGAGAACGACATTGTCGTTGTCGCTCACTCCTACGGCGGTGTGGTAGCACCTAACGCAGTGGATGGCTTGAGTAAGACCACACGTGCGCAGAGCGGCCAGGCCGGCGGAGTCGTTCAAGTGATCTATCTCGCCGCCTTTGCACTCGATCGCGGGCAAAGCCTACTCGAGATGCTGGGTGGGAGCTTTTTGCCGTGGATGCAGGTGGAAGTACGTCGCACCATCCCCCTAACGTAGGCTGTCTCCAACAAGCGACGGTGCGAATCAATCTCACACGAGTAAAGCTGCGCCTGGAGCGTGTGAAGGTCCACAAAAGCTGATTCTGCAATCCCAGGGCGACTATGTCCACATCGATAACTCCAGCCACATCGGCTGGCAAGACCTCCCGCTCGACGAGCAGGTTCAATGGAATACCTTCACACACCACACCTCCCGCGCCGTCTTTGCGGGCAAGGTGATGCATGAACCTTGGAGTAGCGAGGTCCCCTGTGCATACGTGATTTGCGAGCAAGACCGGGCCATGCCGCCGGCCTTCCAGGAGGGGTTTGCCGCAAAGGTCGCGGGTCCGGAAAACACATATCGGCTTCCGGCATCACACTCGCCGTTTTTGTCCATGCCGATACGACTGGCAGATGTGCTGGTGGAAGCCATTGGGGGGAGATCAGAGGAGGCCGTGTTGAGTCGCTTTTAGAGGGGGAAGGTCAATGCACTGTATACCATGTCTATTAATGTTATTGCCACAGTATGCGAATAGTGGTTGTAGGAAGTGGACGGAAAATGACCATTGTGGGTAACTACGAAGCCCTGTACTCGTGTACTATCGGCGCGGGACCATGCTGGATCCTTTTCATCTTACCAACTTCAATCTTCAGCATATGCTGAGGTCTCCTTTCGAATCGATTGTAAAAGTTCAACAGTGCCAGTAAGTAGTTCGCTGTGTGCATGTTGCGTGGAGACCAAAAAAGGAATGACCAGACTGGGGCTCGATCCCAGGACCTTATCGGTGTTAACGATACGTGATAACCAACTACACCATCCGGCCAACTCTTTGTTGGTCATCGCTTTTTGAGTACATACCCTAAAGTGAGTGATAGATTCGAATCGCCCTTTTCTGTTAACATGGTTTTGTTAAATTCACTAGTGTGATACGATATATCAGCATATATCCGAGTCTCCTCAATCCTGATCATGTTCGTCATATAGTCATTGTAATGGTCCCAGAAACTGTTGATAGTGTCATACTATGCATTTGGCAGGCGCCCTGCCAAAACCAACAAACAACAATGGAAGGAGCATAGAGCGCGAAGTGGCCTCATCTCCAGGCTTCCGCTCATCGTAGCTGTGGAGTGGGACGGTGTCAACGGTGATGGAATGTGTACTGTACAGCGCAGAGGGCCCAGGTCTTGAAGCCGCAATCATGCTCATTTTGCCTGCAGCGTCTTGCGAGAATCCATTCGTCGCCGTAATCGTCTGCAATGCTGGAAACAGGACTGGTTGGAGTTGGACCTTTCTGCCCAGTGTGTCTCGTGTTGTGGCTGGTGATGGATCGGACGGTAATGGTCGCTATTGCCCCGGGGCACACGTTGCTTTCCCACTGTGGTGATTGCGGGTGCCGGTGGGCTTGGATATCATCATCTCGATTGCTGGCTTCAAGAGGTATCTCAGACCATTTTATATCTCATGTTGCATCGTTGGTCAAACGGTTACGATTCTTGTCTTCCAAACAAGCGGCCCGGGTTCGACTCCCGGACGATGCAGTGACTTTGGCTTTTTGTTGCGGCCTCCTCTAGGGAGGCTGTGGTCTGGCTTGTCATATATGCCTTCGTCTTAGGTGGTGGATACCACGCATATTCACATAGTATGGTGACACATTGCTCATCATCGAAGTATCGGAATCTCTCATTTTTGCCAACGGGATGACTACATCTTCGAAGGCGGCATACGTCGATGGAGGTGGACTGAGACTCCCTTGCGCCGACGGCCAGCTCAGGTCAACCTCCTGTGTATCTATCTTCGTGATGAGGAGGCAACAGCCCAGATGCCTTGATGCTGCTGGTGGACACGGCTTGCTGTGATTGAGCAGGGATGAATGAAAGGCTGTGGGATATGTACTAATCTCTCGCTCACGGAGCGCCTGTGAGCTCAATACCAAGTGCTCATTTGTTGGCTCTGGTATACATGGGTTGGGGGCGAGGAGTACGCATGCGCCGGTTCGATTTCAGCAGAATCGGGTGTTCATTCTGTATCCCTGCGAACACAGTCGGGCAGCAGGTGTGACTCGTGAGAGGACATCGATGCAAGCTGTACAACCTGTGTAATTGATGCCGCGCGATTGAACCTGTATGTATGAAGCAGTTTAGATGGCTATCGCATTTTGACAACGGTCCACCTTGCTAATGGCGAAAAGCGGGATGCAAAAAGCGTGATAGCGATTATGTCACACATGTCATGTTCATATCTCATATAAGATTCGGCAACACGTCTGGGAACTCCTCCGACCTTGCATAACTGGTAGTGCAAGAAGAGGTTGACTTCCATGCTGGTGCGGATGGATGCTCGGGATCCTGCGTGGTTCCTATGATGCAGCAGCGCAGTTTGTACCCTTTTGGTCATATACGCTTCTACACATTTGGGTGTCATTTCAAGTTACAGGTAAATTGTTTAGACCGAGGGATGCGGGCTGTTGGTGTACGCCACATAGCCTCTGAGCATTCTACTTACTGGCATCTTTCTGCCGCGCGGGCCGGTCACGGCGCGGGGTTCGTAGCTCCATACCAGGTTCAGACGAGCGCATTGGACGGCGACAACCCTTTCAATACTGCTACAAGCTAAGTGCGGGGTCAAAGAAGAGCAAAAAGGTTGAGTGCGCGTGTCCTGACATTTGAACGATCTGCACAAGCCGAGGGCAAAAACCATTGCATCGTCCGGGAGTCGAACCCGGGCCGCTTGTTTGGAAGACAAGAATCGTAACCGTTTGACCAACGATGCTTATTCAGCAAGTGTCCTCTTTCAACATTCATAATACTTTAACGAGCACGAGAGGAGGACATCCGTGCTCGGCTCGAGACTGATGGTTACCATTGAGAATCGAAATTTTTACAAGCATGGTTTACGCAGCACTGATCGACGAAAAGTACTGAAAGTGTTACTGAAAGTGTGGTGAGTGGTGAGTATTGCCAAACCGAGCAACTGTCTCATGACTAAGCGGAAGGGGACAACCGAGCAAAAAGCCGAACCGCATCCGCGTACCCCACTTGATTAACCTCGAGAGGCTCGAATGGATGCAACGAGGTAGAATTAGAATGAACTGGGTCGCGGATAAAGGAACCTTGAATCCGTGCGACCCCCCTAAATTTCCCGCTTGAAAACTATGTTGGACTCCACTAGTTGGTTGGAAGATACATTGTAGGTGACGCCCCAGTCTTCCATCGGATGCGGCGTTTCGGAGTCCGGGTTTGCAGGTGCAGGCAGAGTGGGTTCTCCTTCGTTGAAACGCGTCTGTTCTGAGCCCAAGAATGGGTCCAGCCTGGAAGAAGCTACGGCACACGATAAGAATGGTGGCACCAGGTACTGTCGATTTCTGGTGCAAAGGTGCAAGACCTACGATTCGAACAATCTCGACCGAGTGGTGTACATTAATCCGCTTGCTGCAACCCCGAAAGATGTAATGACCGCCCACCCCTTTCCCTCGCGACCTGACCAACCCGAACGTAACCGTCAGTGCGCCTGCAGTTGCGTATTCGAGACCAGGACCGAGGACGAGGTAGCCGCAAAACCCAGTCGGTAGAATTCCCCAATATAATGGGACATGGAGGTGAAATGTTGGAGAATAGGCGCCGGCAGCCCAAGAGTCCGGTGACACGTCGCAAGGTAACCGCTGGCCGATAAGAGTAGCTGGACATCGTCTGGAGCGGAAGCATTCGATGGATCCTGCAGGATACTCCAGAAGACAACCATGGAGGCCAATGGCACGGAGAAGGTAGCGATCCTGCTGGTATTAGAAATGAAAGACCGACATCGGAACCGCAAGCGCGTGGGGAAGACGGAAGGAGGGAGAGGGTCGGGAGGCGGAGGCGACTCACCATGAGGCATCCGACGATTGCAAGGATACAGCGAATTCTAGATGACGGAGGATCCGTCGACTGGCCTCCACAGACACTGCAAGGTTGGATAACAACAGGCTACCGCCATTCACGTGATGCATACTCACCGAAGTCCCATAATGGCCGCGGACCAAGTGTAGCATGCATGCGCACTGATAATACTCCAACCAGGTCAGGAGAATGTTAGGCGGCGGGCGAAGCGTAAACGCATGCTCAGTCATAAGACCAACCGGGGGCGGTTGCCAGCAAGGAGGTATCGAGTTTCTCCAGTTTCCGAGGTTCTGTTCAATCTCGCGAATACTCTGTTCGATTGCGTACTGGGACTTGCGGAGCGATGATGCCGAGTAGATGTTGGCGAAGATCTTGCTCTTGATCATCGCCAGGCGGATGTCAAATGGAAAGATGATGGTATCCGGAAGGTCGTGTGTTGAAAGGCCGACCGTCGGATACACATTTTGCGTATAGTTGGGGGGTAAGGTCAGGTCACACTGCGAATCCTCGATTGCAGGCGGCTGACCACAACGGAAGGCTAAGTCTTTATCTGTCAAGTAACAAAGCCAGAATAGGTTCCGGGCGTGACTGGCCGCGCGTTGGTCTGAATCGGGCGACGAAGCGCCAATCTCGTGATCAGTGATGTGTCCACCCAGCATGAACACCAAACGTGCCGCTATGGTGTTGAAATAAATTGCCGTCTGGAGGGATCTGGTGAGCATGCCATGGAGACTCTGAGGCGAGGAACATGCGGCGTGAAGGCCAAGAAGTCAGTGACTCATCAACTTCCGGAGACCAGGGACACGAGAGAGCAAAAGGGCTGCAGGGGAACCGACCAACATGACGGCGGCTTGTAAACATTCCAACGAGGGAGACCCGTTGAGCGCTTCCCCCATGAGACATTTGGCCTTGGTCGCGAAGGCATCACACTCGGCCAGGGAGAGGGCATGGTAGTCTTCCAAGATCAAGGGAATCAAAGCCAAGCAGGCGCAAACACAGGCTCGACTACTGGCATTGCGCGTGTCCAGGGTGAGTCTGTCCTGGTTATATGCGGAGGCAATTGTGGTTCGAAACAGGGTGGGCTCCACCACGGGGTATCGGCTGCGGAGGTGGGAGGACTGGTATGCCTGCAGGACTGACTCGATTAGGGCTTGTCGGGGGAGGCTACAGATATCCGTCGTTTGAGACCTGATGCGGATGATCTCGGCGTCGAGGCAGACCAGCCGTTCCCCCGGTGCGCCCTCGTCATAGACCTTGGCAAAGGCCATGGTCTGCCCAGTGGTGCATTGAACCCAGTGCTTCGCCTCAGGCGAGAAGGTCGGAACCCCCCAGATCAAGGTCAGCGGGGGCTGTCTTCGCCCGGCGAAGTGTAGGCCCACGGGCGGATTGTCGAGGGATCGGTCATTGCGGAGGAGGCTGCTATCGCTTGTGTCTTGGGGACTTGGGGATGAAGTCTCGTTCTCGACTGCAAGACAGCACGGGAGGGGGGTTCCTTTAGTTACTCATACAGGATAAGATCATGGGGGTGGAGTCTGTGCCGAGCAAGCTAGGGCTGGACTGACCCTGAAGACCCTGGACCACCGACGGCGACGCTTTGTTCGCCAGTTGCTGACCAGCGACTTTTCGTCCTGGACGTGTAAATGTGCACAAAAGATTATGGTGACTGCAATAGTTACATCGAGGCAATGCTGCGTCGCATTTGATCTACCATCTATTCAGTTGTCATTGTCCAGCTGTCATGGAGCACGCGAGACAGAGGGGGTCGTCGGTAGCGCCGCGGAAATGCTCACCTTCCTCTTGTAACATGAGTCACAGGCTCGGGGGGTGTGTTTACCAGAACGACCTCCCGACGGTGCTTGAAATTGATTGTCCATGTTTCTGACCGCCTTTGGACTCGACTGGAGGATGGGGTGGAAAAAGATGAGAGGGAGGAGGTAGATGTGAGTGAGGGAATTCAATTTTATGATGCTAGGGGAGAGGTCAACTAAGTTACATTGTGCTCACTTTCTGCTATTTAGAAGGGGCAAGTGTAAATAACGCTTTGTTCTCTCATTTTTTCTGTGCTGTTTTTTTTTTTTTTTTTTTCTCTTCTTCCTTTTGGATACAAAGAAAAGGTTGTTCGAAATCTAAAGTCTTTCCTCAAGTCGAACTAACAGGCGGGAGCCGGAAGTTAAGCCAGAAGACCCAAGTCTTCCAGAACGATGGTGGGTCTTCGGGTCAGAAAGGAAATACGTAGTACTTCTAGTCTAGCCAGGAGAGATCGGTCGGAGACTCTGGAATGGTCGTACTCGTATAGTAGACAGTACGAATAAGTTACCTCGGAGAAGATAAGCATTTGGGCAAATCTTGCATTGCAAAGTGGCAGCCACGTAACATCCTCCGAAATCGCGGCAGGTCGGCATTTGCGGGCGGAGGATCTTCCGGGGATCCTCCGCGCCAGTCATAATGCTCAAACTATACACTATACGGGAGCTGGACCCCTACCCCATTTAGCCCTAGCAACTCTTATACATGATGATACATGCATACACGGGCATGTCGGTTCTCATCTTATTTAATAATCACCCCTTATCCTCAGCCAGTGACCAATTCGAAAATTTCCGTCTTTTCGCTGTTGGTTCGCCCTCCTTCCTTTGATTTGATTAGTTGCTGTTTGCCTCACCCAGTCATCCATTCCTTTATCTACAACACCATCCACCTGATTTGAAATCTCTCCAAAGTACCGTGGACCCTCACTACTCATTTCTTACTTGACTACAGGTCTTCCTGTCGCTCAATTCTGCGTTTCTCATTTTCATTCTCGGTTGTTCGCTTCGCTTCTGCCCAAGCCGCATCTTCCAACCGACACTTGGGGCCTACTACCACAGGGTCATGGCCAACAAATTGCCTGGCGGCCCCAATGAGGGCAGCATCACTCAACCGGAGGAGATCACACTGCATAATTTAGACTCCGGTGGATGGGAGCTGGGCCCCTTGGTACAGACCTTCCATCAGAACATGCGTGAGGAAGGATATCCTGAGCGGAGATTGGGGGTTACCTGGCGGAATCTGACGGTCAAGGGCATCAGCTCAGGGGCCGCCATGAACGAAAACGTGCTCAGTCAATTTGATGTGGTTCGGCAGGCACGGCAGGTGCGCCAAAAACCGGCATTGAAGACCATCGTGTCGGACTCGCATGGCTGTGTCAAGCCAGGTGAGATGCTTTTGGTGTTGGGCCGGCCAGGGGCGGGCTGTACGACCCTGCTCAAGATGCTCGCCAACCACCGGGAAGGTTATGCTCAGGTTGAAGGGGATGTTCACTATGGCTCCATGACCAGCGACGAGGCACACCCCTACAGGGGTCAGATTGCCATGAACACCGAAGACGAACTTTTCTATCCCTCGCTCACCGTTAATAAGACGATGGATTTCGCCACCCGTCTGAAGGTCCCGGGGCATATCCCCGCCAACGCCAAGAACGGTCAGTCCCAGACGGCCGAGGAATACCGCCAGGAGCGCAAGGAGTTCTTGCTTGAGTCGATGGGAATTGCACACACGCAGAATACCAAGGTCGGCAACGAGTACGTGCGAGGAGTCTCGGGAGGGGAGCGGAAACGGGTCTCTATTATCGAATGCCTGGCCACCAATGCCTCCGTCTACTGTTGGGATAATAGTACCCGTGGGCTGGATGCAAGCTCGGCGCTGGACTGGGCGCGTGCCCTCCGATATATGACCACTGAGTTGGGGCTGGCCACGATTGTGACCCTGTACCAAGCAGGAAACGGCATCTACGATCTCTTCGACAAGGTACTCGTTCTGGACGAAGGCAAGCAGATCTTCTATGGCCCCCGCGTCGAGGCCCGGCCGTTCATGGAGAACCTGGGCTTCGTTTGCCGGCCTGGGGCCAACATCGGCGATTACTTGACTGGTCTCACTGTTCCTACCGAGCGTCTTATCGACCCCTCCTTCCGCACTTTCCCGGAGACCGCAGACGCAATCCTGCAGATTTACGAGGGCTCGGTGATTCGTAAAAACATGGAGAAGGAGTACGCCTATCCTTCCTCGCCCGAGGCCCAGGCCAACACGGAGGCTTTTTGCGCCAGCGTGGCATTCGAGAAGCAAAAAGGCGTGAAAGCCACGGACCCCATGACAGTGACCTTCCCACAGCAGGTATGGACGTGCGTCCAGCGACAGTATCAAATCACCTTTGGCGACATGGCTTCCTTCGCCATCAAGCAAATGTCTACGCTCGTCCAGGCCCTAATCGCGGGCTCGCTATTTTACAACGCCGCCGCCGATTCATCAGGACTGTTCATCCGGGGCGGCGCGCTTTTCTTTTCCCTGCTCTACAATGCGCTAATGGGAATGTCCGAGGTTGTGGATTCATTCACGGGCCGTCCGGTCCTGATTAAGCACAAGTCATTCGCCTACTTTCACCCGGCCGCGTTCTGTATCGCTCAGATCGCCGCAGATATCCCCATGGTCCTGATTCAGATCACGGTCTTTGGGATTATCATCTACTTCATGGTCGGCCTCACCTCCTCGGCAGCGGCGTTCTTTACCTACTGGATTATGCTCTTCGCAACGACAATGGTGAGTGGCAGAGCCGATTATAGCTGAAACCATTCGCAATAACTAACTGTTGTCGCGCCCCTAGTGTATCACAGCTATGTTCCGTGCGGTGGGTGCGGCTTTCCGCACCTTTGACGGGGCGTCCAAAGTGTCCGGATTCCTGATCTCCGCCTTGGTTATGTATACGGGTTATATGATTCAGAAACCCGACATGCACCCGTGGTTTGTCTGGATTTACTGGATCGATCCGCTCGCGTACGCCTTTGAGTCCGTGCTGTCCAATGAGTTCCACGATAAGGTGATCGACTGCGTTGGGGGCAATATCATCCCCGCTGGCCCCGGCTATTCGGCCACTCCGGGGCAGGCTTCCTGTGCTGGCGTCGGTGGAGCCGTGCACGGGGAGGTCTCGCTCACGGGCGATCAATACCTGCACTCACTGAGCTACAGTCACAGCCACGTCTGGCGGAATTTCGGCATCGTGTGGTGCTGGTGGGCGCTCTTTGTTGGCATCACAGTACTGGCAACCATGCGTTGGCGGGACCGGGGCGCCACCGGGGCCACGCGCCTGGTTCCCTACGAATTGGCCCGGAAAGGCCGTGTTGTAGTCGATGAAGAGTCCCAGGCCCCTCCGGACGACCGCCGGTCCGACAAGTCATCGGCAGCCATCTCCCCCACCCCCAACGCAGCCACCATCGCCCGGAACACCTCGATATTCACCTGGAAGAATCTCAAATATACCGTCAAAACCCCGCAGGGCGACCGTGTCCTTCTGAATGACATCTATGGCTGGGTCAAACCAGGGATGCTCGGAGCCCTGATGGGATCATCCGGAGCAGGGAAGACCACTCTCTTGGATGTCCTGGCCCAACGCAAGACAGATGGCACGATCCAAGGCTCAATCCTCGTGGATGGCCGCCCTCTTGATGTCTCCTTTCAACGATCCGCCGGGTATTGTGAGCAGCTGGATGTCCACGAGGCTATGACGACCGTTCGGGAAGCACTGGAATTTTCGGCCTTACTGCGACAGCCCGCACATATCCCTCGAGAGGAAAAGCTCGCCTATGTTGATGCTATTATTGACTTGCTTGAGCTTCATGATATCGCGGATATCTTAATTGGAAAACCCGGAGCGGGCCTTAGTATTGAACAACGAAAGCGGGTGACGATCGGCGTTGAGCTTGTATCCAAGCCCAAGATCCTCATCTTTCTCGATGAGCCCACCTCCGGATTGGATGGTCAATCGGCCTTCAACACAGTACGATTTCTGCGTGGATTAGCAGATCTAGGGCAAGCAATTCTCGTTACCATCCATCAGCCTTCGGCTCAATTGTTTACGCAGTTCGATACACTGCTGTTACTCGCCAAGGGGGGTAAGATGGTGTACTTCGGTGATATCGGGGAGAATGCACAAACCATGAAGGATTACTTTGCTCGCAACGGGGTCACTTGTCCGCCCGAGTCGAATCCGGCGGAGTTCATGATCGACGTGGTCACTGGCCGCCTGTCGAAACGCGACTGGCATGAGGTCTGGATGGAGTCGCCCGAGCACACCCAGCGGCTCAGTGAGCTTGATCAGATGGTCAAGGAGGCAGAGCAGCGCCCAGTCGGCGAGCCGGACCTGAGCGAATTTGCTCTTTCCCTGTGGGAGCAGACCAAGATCGTCACGCGTCGCATGAATCTCGCCCTCTATCGCAACACAGACTACATCAACAACAAGGTTGCCCTGCACATCGCGTCTGCCCTCTTCAACGGCTTTACCTTCTGGATGATTGGCGACAGCGTCAGCGACATGCAGCTTCGTCTCTTTACTGTCTTCAATTTCGTTTTTGTGGCCGCCGGTGTGATCAACCAGCTCCAACCGTTGTTCATCGAGCGGCGAGACATTTACGATACGCGGGAGAAGAAATCGCGCATGTACTCGTGGAAGGCGTTTGTGACGGCGCTGATTGTCTCAGAGTTTCCCTACCTGTGCGTGTGCGGTGTCCTCTACTATGTCTGTTGGTATTACACGGTTAGGTTCAGCTCGGACTCGAACAAGGCGGGGGCCACCTTCTTTGTGATGCTGATGTACGAGTTTCTATATACTGGAATTGGACAGTTTATCGCTGCATACGCGCCCAACGCCCTGTTCGCTTCCCTGGCCAACCCGCTGGTTATCGGGATCCTCGTCTCCTTCTGCGGTGTTATGGTGCCCTACGCGGAGATCAATGTCTTTTGGCGGTACTGGATGTACTACCTGAACCCGTTCAACTATTTGATGGGCAGCATGTTGGTCTTTACCGTGTGGGATACCGACGTCAGATGCACCCAGTCTGAGCTGGCCATCTTCGATCCACCGTCCAACTCCACCTGCGGGCAGTACCTGTCCACCTACCTGGAGACCCTGGGGTCTGCTGCCGACCTGCTCAACCCCGGTGCGACCGCGCAGTGCGAGGTCTGCCCCTACAGCCGGGGATCGGACTACCTGGCGACCCTCAATCTACCCCACTACTACGACGGGTGGCGGAACACGGCCATCGTCGTGATCTTCGTCTTCAGCTCGTACGGGCTCGTCTTCCTGATGATGAAGCTGCGGACCAAGGCCTCCAAAAAGGCCGAGTGATGCGTCATCGATGGCATGCGAATGGGGACCCTCACCCGGTATCCGACGGAGCTATGGGAGAGGTTCGCCAGTTTTCCGTTGTTGATGATGGACTGTGCGTTGGCTGTGTTTTCGGATCCGATGTGATCACTGTCCTGTTTTTGCTTCCTGTTGTACATGATGATCTGGGTCTGTGACTGACTCTCGATTGCTGTTCTTGTCTCCTGTGTGCCCTTCCTTTACTCCCCCGCCGCCCTGTGAGGTGTTCGTGTTTACACTCGTTCCATAGAATTTCACCGATGTTTATCCTGTGACCGTTAGATAGATCCAGTTCCTTGTTAAATAGATCGCTAGATGCGCATTGGGTACATACTTCGCTCGTTTCTTCCTCCCGCCCCGGTTGGTACAACCACTACCTGTAAGCTGGTTCCGAATTGATAGTCGACTGGACGGGGTGATGGGGGCTGACCCTGGACTGGCACCGAGCCATGCTCAGGGGAGTTATTCAGAGGGTGTTGGATGGCTTCGACGAGGAGATGTTAAGCCGGAGCCGTCAAATCTGCCAGTTCAATCGTAGGTCCATGAGCAAAATGATCCTGGCAACATTGAACAGGCGTAGCAAGCAGCTTGAGTTACGGCCGAATTTCATGGGTCATAGCCAATTTAATATTGAAGCCCAGCACGAGAGCCTTTGAAAGTTGACTTGATGACACCCCCAGTTGATGGGGACATTGCATGATCCCTCTTATATACAAGACTTTCTGTGCGCAATAGAGTCCTGAAGACATTTAATCTGCGCTCCAGGCCAGGCAGGGACTACTCCCAGCGTGGTTCATTACTTGCTCCTGATGACTTCAGAACCATCACATACAGCCGACACATGTAACTCTAGCATCAACAAGAAAGACTCCCATTACCAGCTCCTACTCTTGACAATCGCAACACAGAAAACAAGATCATCGGAATTGGAATCAGCACGGCTGCTAGGCCACGCGATATGCGGCCAAGCACGTTTCAGGTATTGCTGCAGTCCGATAGAAACGGACATACCCAATCCCCCCATAACCTGTACACCGTCTCATGCTCGCCGCAGGTCAGCTCCTCCGAGGACACAGCCGGCCGTTGGTATTCCACGACTCCGGCACAGGATCCTCCACCAAGACCGTCCAGTCCTCGGCTCCGACCGCGGTGAGAGCAAAGAACACCCCGGTCGGGTCATACTTCTGCTTGAGCGCATACAGATGGGGATAGTTGGCCCCGTAGTAGGCATTCTGCAGGTCGGGTTCCAGCAGATCCGCCTCGCTCATGTAGACGCCCGACTCCCCCAGGTCCCGCATGGCCTGCATCCACTGCGTCAGCGAGCGGGAGGTATGCTCGACGACGTCCCAGCTCGAGGTCGAGTTCCATTGGCCGATGACAATGGCATGCGTCAGGGTGTCGCGCCAGGCGGGCAGCACCGCGTTGTTCTGGGGCGGTTCGACGAGTTTGCCTCTTCCGGTGAGATGGAAGGCCGCGATGGAAAAGCCCTTGGTCATGTCAGTATACAGAGTCGGGTCGAGGAAAGAATCGTCCGGGAGGGAAGGGAAAGGGGAACGCAGCCCCTCAGCAGCGTACATTTGCCACCGCGTCCTTATGCGCGAGGAAGTTCCGGTGCCGGAGACCATCGTCGTGGTATGCCTTGCGCGGGAGAAGACGCGAGGCGATCTTCGTCGTCGCAGCCCCCATTTGTTCCTGTGGAAAGGCAGATTTCCATGCATCGTGACTGCGCGACGGGGTTAGTGGGGAAACTGGGGAATGCCCGCCACGATAATGCGTCCCCCCACTCACAAGTTATCCGCGAAGTTGTATTGCGGGGTGTAGCGGATGTTTAGAGTGTCAAGCCGGTCGAACCACGGCTGCAGAAGATGCTTCGTCTCCGTGATGGTCATATTCGGCGCCAGGAGCGATTGAATTCGCAGGTAATAGTCCCTGTCCCCGGGGAAATTGGTGCCTCGTTCCGCAGCCGATGCACCCAGGTCGTAGTATGCATAGGTCCCGGCGTCGACCAGACGCTCAATGTTGTCGAGATAGGATTCGAACCCTGCCCAGAACGCATCGGGACCGGGGGTGTCGGCGACCGAGAAGTTGAAAGTGACGGTGGTCGCAGAGATCTGAGGATATGCTTTCACGGTGATGGAGGTCACGACCCCGATGGTGCTTCCACCGCCGCCACACAGCATCCAGTAGATGTCCGCGTGCTGCTTGGCCGTGGCGGTGATAAACCGACCATCCGCGAGAACCACTATCGGCTGTCAGTATTGAGGGTTCCGGAAAGGGGCAGTTGGGGGTCGATCACCTTGTATGGCTAATACCTGATCTGCTGCCATGCCGTACAGACTACTCAGCGGTGAATGCCCCCCGCCGAGGGTGTATCCCCCGGCCAAGCCCACAGTCACGCCTTCACCACCGATGACTGTCACGTTGGACTGTTTGGCGAATTCGTATGCCTCGAAAGCCTGGACTCCCGACCCAAGCTTCATCGCGGGTCCCACATAACCGTCGTCGGCCGCGAAGGTAGGGTAAAAGACCTTGTCTTTCAAACAGTGTGTCCAGATGGACAATGCGCCTTTCCCGGTCGACTTCCCGTTGAAGTCGTGACCGGTGTTTTTCACTACAAGGCGCAGATTCGAGTTCCGCGCAAAGTTCACGGCCAATTGAACCTGCGCAGCGGTCGATGCATTCACTACGTACGTCGGGTAACCGCCCACAGTGCACATGTTGGTATAGTTGAAGCCAAAGGGCATGCAAGTACGCCCCTCGTACAGAGGACTCAAGACAGAGGTCGGATGTTGGATGCTAGTGATCAGGCCGTTAGACTCACTGGGCGCAAGACGTATACTCGGGGTGAGGGGTGGAATCCTCACTGAAGGGAAGAGTTGATCCAGTTCATACTCAGGTGAAAGCAGGTTGCATTATCGAATTGCGACCATCCTGAGTAGCACGGCGCTGCGAGTGGGGCAGGCCGCAGAAGGCTTCCCCCGAGCAGCTGATTGAAGAGGTCCCATGTTGACTGTGATGGCCAGATAGCGTCGCCGGGCATTGTCTTACACTGCCGGGTGGTCTTGGCTTGAGGTTGCGCACTGCCGAAGGAGAACAGATTCAAAAGACTCATGTCTCCGAGACTTACTCCGAGACCATTTAGGACATCTTCGGTCAACTGAATGGTCTCCCCTGGGAATAATGGTGGCGCTCCCATCGTGTAAGCCGGAAGGGCAGTTGCTGCAGGAGAAAGCGCAGGGTATGATGGGGATGGAACTACCCCGCCAGATACGACTGCTGTCGAAAGCAGGAAGGCTAACGGGACTTTCATGATGCTAATAACGAGTGTCTCCGTAACCGCGAGAGATATGATCAATCGTCGTTACGAATTGAGGGAAACTGCGGCAGAAAGCCTACATATGTACCTCTGGAGGCTGCGCATCGACTCATGGCGAAACCGACGGACTTCCAGTTGCCTGAGTAGCTCACATAGACAGCTTCTCAGATATATCTTTGATCGGCCGATCGCTAAGGTTCACAGGTACCTCTGATTCTCTGCCTCAACATCAAGTCGACCCAGCTTATCATTCACACAGGGTACATTCCTCTCATGGGAGAAGAAAGTACCGAGTACATGGACCTACCTTACGCCATGTCACCGATAAGGCTATAACCAACCCTCATTGTACACCACAACATCACTGCGTGCCAAATACAGGGCAGTATGAGTGGCCCAAGCGGCCCAGATTTCAAACCCTGCCAAGAAATGAGACCACATGTCCAGGACCTTTCCAACCCGGCTGTCAGCCCTTGACTGGGCCTGCAGCACGGTTTGCTTTGAGAGATGGCCAACGGGTACCAGTGACGCCTGCATCGTGCATAATCGGTACAGTACATCTGATTTCAAGCGGGGCTGGCTATTATTAGAACTACGACGGATAATAAAATATCGGCGGGGGAAGTCGGCGGCTTGAATCTCATGACTACGCATGGCTGCATAGCCAACGGTGGTCGCTCGGAAGGCGAAGAACTAAGCAGCTTTGTATCAGTTGCTATGAAGCAACTGGGCTGGCAATCATAGATTGACGGAGCTTGCTCCGCGCTATTGTACCGAGCTGGACTGTACACACGCGAGGTTCAGTGTATAAGGAAGTGGATTGCGTCTGCTTGCCCACATGCTATTGTCGAACATGTAGATTGGGAGCTGCTACGGGGAGTCAGAAATGGTGATACATCTGGCACATCATGGCCAGATTCACTACCCGACCTCAAAAGTCGACGGAACCCTGCGTTACATATTGGCGGATCGCCTGATAATCTACAGTACATGATGTTCTCCGCTGTGATCAGGCTCGTAGGCATCAAATTGTCTCATCGTGTCTTGCCAGATGGCATTAGGACTTCGACCAGATTGACAACTCTGGCACGATTTATCTTTCTCCAAGGGTCTTTAAATCAGACCGATGTCAGTCATCCTTGTGAGACGCTCAGGGCTTCGCCAGCTGTTCTTTGCGGAAGAAAAGCAAAAAGCCAGCACTACAGTCCAGCGTTAGTATGGTCCCCGTCCCGACAGGCATAGGAGAGATAGCGACGTACCAGATAATCAATTGGCAGAATAGGGCAACCCAGAACCATGCATTCGCCACCGCGCTGGCCCCAAAGGTAGGGTCAGGAGAGACTGGGCCGGGGCCGAGCTTGTTGGGGCCAAAGCCTCGGGCCGCGATGGTCGCGATGGATCCAAACACTTGGGAGCAGATCAAGGTGAAGAGCATGTGTGTCCGCGTCAGGGTTTGGAGCAGAATGATGCCGAACCCGAGACCCTGGATACTATCGAGCACCCCAAGCCAGAGCCAGAGACTGCGGGATGCCAGCGCCCCACCGACATAGCCTCCAGACACCCAGGGCAGGTAGTACCCTATCCCCGAAGTGGCCCACCAGATCTGCGCCCACCGTGGAGCCAGCAGCCCGCAGGCTATCAGGGGGAGAAACCAGCTGTGGGCCTT